GCATATTAAATCATATTATTAAAAGAAGTGATTCCAAAATTGTCAAATTTGTTATTAGAGGGGTTTTGCGCATGAATAATTATAACGTAGGGGAATTTGACACATTTTTTAAAACACAGAAGGCTAATGCCGAATTTATATGTGCAATCTTTACAAAAATAAAGAAAAAATAATAGAAAAGAACTAGCTCACAAAATTGTAGTGATCGATTGATGAGTGGCAATAACTTCGTTTTTATTAACTGAAAGTAAATACTATTTAAGTCATATGAATTAAACATATTTTGAGTTTGAATAAATTGATTCTATATAGTTTACTTCAATTTTGCTTCATTTGTTTTTACTATTTTTATTTTTTGGCTAGTTGTTTTTACTTTTATTTGAGAATTTACTTTTACACTATAAACACCAATCACAATTGACATCCGCGTATCATGCATTTTTCCTTTATCATGATTGGTGGAAATTTGGAGTTTTGAGTAGCAATAATAAAATACGCTATTAATGATTTCTTTGTGACTTAATTTTTGTCGTGATATGTACATCTCTTCCTATGGAAGAATTTTCTACGAGTATTTAATCACAAGTGATGCATCAATTTGGAAGGATCCGAATTTGAGGCTATTTGAGGCTTAATTTTCAATTTGGATCATCCATTTATGTTAGAGGATCTCAATCCAACCTAGAACGGAGGTGATAGCTAGTGATGGAATTCAATGACGACATAGTGACAGACCGTAGTGATAGCTAGTCATGGAATTCATGTGATTAATTCTTACAAAAATTTCGCCTTATTCACTTTTTTTAATCAATGATGATAAAATTTAGACACTAATTTTAATTTTTATAATATATTTGTATATAATTTATAAATTTTATACTTTTATGAAAATATTTTGAATAAAGAATATTTTTATATAATTTTCGTATTCTAAATAATTTCATATTAAAAAATACTCCCTCCGTCCCGTAAACAACTTCCTACTTCATTTTCACACAAATTAAGCAAATAAATTTACTGGGGGGTAAATTTTACTGTTTTGACACTGTTTTGATACTGCTGTTCGGCACTGTGTGACGCTGTTTTGATGTAGATAACTTGTCAAATAAAGAAGTGTGAAGAAGTGGGAAGTTAATTTCGGGACTGCACGAAAAGGAAAGTGGAAAGTTAATTTCGAGCGAAAGGAGTATTATTTGTCAAAGTTGATTGTCATTGATAACAAATGCCAATTTGGCAAACATTTTCGTGACGGAGAGAGTGTCTTATACGGAGTATGCAAATATTTTTGATTTTGAATTCATTTTTATACTTTACTACATTTTTTCTTAATTTCTCTGAACTTTCATTTGAAAATTTACTTTTGGACATAAGAAATTACAAATATAGCCCCCAATTGAGTATTTAACATAGACATTGGATTATGTAAGTTCTATGTTAGGATTATTAGGGTAAGAAACGAGATTTGAATGTATTTTTTGTTGAATATTTATTTATTCATGCAGGGCCGACCCAAGGCATGTCTACCCAGTCCAACCGCACAGGGCCCGGTTTTTTGAAGGGCCCAAAAATTTTTAGTATTAGACCTAACCCATTAATCTTTTAGCCCAACATCTACCTTCGCCCAAAATCCCCTGCGTTAACTCCCGACTCCAAGTCCCGACTTCATTCATCCACCCAACGCCAAAAGTCACAACCACACATCCCCGGCTCCGCACACCACACACCGCACACCACACACCGCACACCGCCACAACCACACCTCCGCACGCCGCCTTCAGTCCACCAGCATCCAACCTTCCAGAGGTCACTCCAGTCTGCAGCACTGCGGCACTGCATCTGTGCGGCTGTGGACGTCCGCACTCCGCACACCGCTAGGCCGCCACGGCGTAGCTGCTCACCTGCCATCACGACCTGTTGGCCGCCTCCCTCACGCTCCCGCCTCCCTGAGTCCGGTCAGTCCACCTATTTTCAATTTTTTTTATTCATTGAGTTGATTCTTGTGAATTTTTGAATTATTGAATTGATGAATCGTTTATTGAATTGTTGAATTGTTGTAATTTGTTTATTTTCTGATTTCCTGATTTCATGTTTGTTGAATTGTTGCATTGTGGTTATTTGTTGATTTTTTGCAATTAAAGTGAACCATCATTTGAATTGATAATAAATGTGTAAATGTGTTTAGCAATTAAAATTTAAGAAAATGGTATAAATATATTATTAGATAACTTGAGGTCGATAAATTGGAATTATACATACACTAGTATAGTCATTCATGTTTTCACCCTAATTTTAAACTGAATATTAATTTAAAATTTATAAACAATTTGCTTGTGTTGCAACTTAAAAAAAGGCCCAAATTTTATTGTTGCACAGGGCCTCCATTTTTTCGGGACCGGCCCTGTATTCATGTTAAAGTGAGAGTATACTTTATAGACTATGGTTATATGGACAAACGCAGATGCAGAATATACATGAAATTCTCGGAGGTCGAAGGCTAATAAAACATTTAGTAGTCAGAATTTTTAGATCTCATTTGATCACACTGAAATCGGCTGAATCAACTGAAGTGACTATTGGATTGATTAGTTCATTTGAATTGTGAAAATTTATATTTAAAATATATTTCATTCATAAAATGCAAAAGAAATATATGAAAAATAGCTAAAATGATTATCCACAATAACTTAAATCAATTCATCGAAAAAAGTAATTCCAACCTTTATTATTTTGATTTATATACAATTCAACACTTGAATTCAAAAGTCTCCGAAGAACAAGACCACCAAAGAGACTCTTAATAACAATTTTCTCTTTAATAAAAAAATAAGAATCTTCTTCTAATAATAATAAAAATAAGACTGATAAGCTGATAATTAGAATCATCAAAGAGACTCTTAATAAACATATTCTCCTTAATAAAAAATAAGAATCTTCTAATAATAATAAAAATAATAACAAGTCATGCCCGAAATTTTCTAATATGGTGTGTATCTTTATGATCTGATATAGTCTCGATATTTCTAATGGGAGAAGACTTTTTCTGATTTAGTATGATCTAATCCAATTTTTTTCTGATCTAAATGAGATAAGGTGAGAATGCGCGTTACACTATGAGTGATTGCTTTTAGTATAGCGATAAGTGTAACAATCCACACTTCACTCCCCTTTAAAAAATCGGACATCAAGAATATCACACCATTTTTAGGATGATATTTGACTTTGCACCATATTTTCAAAAGTATTAATGTATGCACGCCAATTCGATCCACACTTGGGGTACATACATGAGTAATTTTTTAAATAGAGCGCAAAGCTAAATATCATCCAAGAGTATTACCTCATTTAAAAAATGATGTGATATTTTGGGAAGAGATGATCATAATATCACTCCATTTTTTCAGGAGGTAGAGAGTCAAATAGACTTTTACTATTTCAAATCCATCACCTGAGCCTCTATACTAAAAATATATCATATGAGTACGCTTACTTTGGAAACACAATCATTCAAACCATTTTGACCTGATCTAGCAGGTTATTTTTGAAAAAATAAATTTAGAAAATTCATAATACTTATAAAAAAATCATCTAAATTTGAAAAATAGGAATAGTAATATTAATAATCGTAAAAATAAAAAGATAAATAATTTATAAAGTTGTAAATAACCACAATGGGGCCTGCTTCCATTCTTATTACAGGACTTCCATCACCAATGCAGGAAGCTGGGGATGATGCATCCGGCAGGACAAGGGAATCCTTTTCTGTGGTACAACGTATGGAAAAAGTTTAAAATGCAAAATTAAATAAAAGAAACATGGAATGGAAACTAAAGCAATCAAATGAAAAGAATAATTAATTAATTATAATTCAAAGGGTACACATAGAACATTGGACACCGTGCCGTTGGAATATAACGGAGGCAAAGAAGTCATAGTTAATGATGAGGAAAATTCCTTTCTCTACACGCCAAGTTTTACACGCTGGGTTACACGTATGTCAAATTGTCTGTGTATAAACAATTTGACCGGCTACACAGACATATTGAGCGGTGATTTACGAAGAAAACTGATTTTCACACAGACAAAAAATAAAAAATGTCTATCATAGACACTTAATGAAAAATTCAGGCCTAAAATGTCTGTGATACAAACAACTGTTTATATTTTGTCTGTATGGAAATCGATTTTCTTCATAAAACGCCGGTCAAATTGTCTGTCTAGCCGATCAAATTGTCTGTATACAGACAATTTGACCGGCGTGTAACCCGGCGTGTAACCCGGCGTGTACACGAAGCAGGTATAGGTACAAGTGTAACTTGCTCTAATGTAACATCAACATTTTATCATTTTTAAAATGTCATAACACAATTTGGAGTTTAGGTACTACACTAGTACGAGTACCAACTCAATACATTGTCTATGGTTTGTTCACTTTGTTGATGACTTAATTTAGAACCGTGACAGAGCCCAACTCTCTATCTGTCAGATTGTGATTATAATCCAACTTACATCCTTCCAACGTACCGTCCGGTCAGGGTTGGGGCGGCCTCAGGGATGGGGTGTCATCCTTTTTTTTAGACCTGTGATATGTACGCCAAATTTTAAATAATGCACAAATTTCAAAATCTATCTATACTTAATTAAACGAACTAAGTGAAGCTAGAGTTTCTCCCGCCTAATCGTCGCTGGGTATTTTAGTCAATTCCTAATCTTCTAAGTCCCTAGCTAGACTCTGATGCTCTGCATATCCTTCCTCCAGTGAACATCCTTTTCTCGAGATTCTTGAGAGACTCCGCCTCCTACATGCCTCAAAACTCCTCCTTTTACCCACACCTCGCAACAATCATCCTAATTCTTCTTAAGTTTTGCGCCATCTCTATCTAATTTATCTCTGCCGTAGTATCAATCTGGTAACACTATGTATACATACATATACATACTTCTAGCGAAAACCCTAAATTCTAGTCTTCCTTCTACAAATTTTCTGCCTAAATTTACGGTCTCCATTGCACCTGTAACTCAATGACTCCAACTCCCAATCCGGCTCCATTCAAGGTTCTTTTAACAAATATTGATTTGCAGTTGGATGACAAGGCTGTACTTTTGCTTAGAGTTGTGAGCAAATGAATCATCCCCAGCAAGAGCAATCCAAACGACCCAATATGGTAGAGACGGTTCTCATGGATGAGGAGGTAAATCTCCTAGACTTCCGTTATGTATTAAACCATGGTTCTGTATTGTTATCAGTTGCTCTAATAATATCTTATGGTGAAATAAACCATGGAATAGTCCATCTTTTAAGGTGCAATTGATACAAGTACTGCTTATTGATGATGCACTTAAGAAATGGCTTAAAAGTAGACCGTTTGTGTCATTTATACATCCATATTTTCCTACGTTTAACTCAAAAAATCTGTACTGCTTCTCAACAGTTGATGTATGATACTCACATGTGACTTACACTATGTAGAATTCATGAGAGCGCAACTTTGCTTATTTATCTTTGAAAATGCGTTATACAAAATCCAGTTATTTTAGTTAATGAACTTGCCTTATTTGCTCTGCATTTTGATAATTTCAATTGTTCTTTGACAGTTATTTTGAGAGTTTTTGCAGGAAGGGTGGATTAAATTGAAAAGAAAAATTGCATTTTAGTGCACTACCATATATGATATTGTCCATTGGCCAAGCCGTTCACATAAAACAATTATGTATACAAAACAAAAGAGCTAATGGAGAATGTCATAAAAGAATTCTGAGTTGTTTTTTATACTCTTCAATAAACATAAAAACACACACAAGCTTATGGTGTGTTATCAGTTGCTTTTGAGAGTTATTTTGAGAGTTTTTGCTTATGAGTTTTTTTGAGAGTTTTTGCAAAAAGGGGGGATTAAATTGAATAGGAAAATTGGTCATTTTAGTTTGTCTATTACTTATTGACCTTTTTTCCTTAGGATGGCCTCCATGCGACCATGCATGCCTTCTCCCAACACAAATGGGGCCATTCCTCTCTGTTGTGTTCAATATAGTCATTTCTCTTTTGCTTCTTTTTTTTTATTTCTACTTTTGCTATTGTTCTGAAAAATTTACTGAAAGTATTTTCATATAACTGTTTTCTCTTCCGTTATGAGTCTTATAACTACATGGTACAATGATAGTAAATTTTAAAAATGATGTGTTCTGAGAGATATTATACTTAATTAATCAAATGCACTCTCATTCTCTCTTTAATTTCTTTATCTTTAGTTTGCATATGAACTTTTATCCTTGGGCTGGCCTCCTAATATGCCTTCTCCTAACATAAATGGCCATCATTAGTCATTTATAATACTTTCTTCTTTTATTAAATGTTTTGATTACTGTTGTCAGGTTTTCACCTCTCCAGCTCAGACCACACTCATACAACACACAACCAAGCATCACCGGAAGGGACAATCGCACTCAGCCCAGTCCAACCATCTCAACGCACACCAAGGTCAGAAAAGGGGAAACACAGAGAGAATAACACAAAGGGACCGGAAGGAGAAGAGACGGAAAGTCTCTCTTTCTCAATCTCTCTCACCTTACTCTCTCTCTCTAACCGAAGACCTCAACCCGCTCAAGAGGAAGAAGAGGGCCTTAAGTACCAGGGCAGCAAGGGAACCCTAATAGAGGGTTCCAGAAACAGGGCCAGTAGAGAAACACATGGGCCGGTGACAAGAGGCAAGCAAACAGGCCCAACAAGGTAAAAGAGGGCTGCCAAGGCTTTTATGGGCCAATACCTCCACAATCTCCACCTTATTGGCCATCATTGGTGGTGCAAGGTATCACAAAGTAACATGAGCACGTGGTTCATCATCGTTGGGTCACCAGTGATATCCTAAAGACATAACTGGCAAACAAATTGGAGATACACAAAAACTGTTCACTTCTTTACAGAGAATATAGTATGGTAAGAGTAGAAAATGCATTTTTTCGTAATGGTTTTTGGATTTATGGGTGGAATGATATATTACCTCAATTGATTCCAATTAAGAAGTATATATTAAAAACAATATCATAAAATAAAAAAAGTTATATCAATTTAAAGAAAAAGGGGTTTTCATTTTCTTGGGTCCCACATCCTAGGTTGCACGTATACGGATACGCTGATATGTCAATACAAGAATACGGGTACTGTGATACGCCAACTTCAAAAATCATAGGATACGGGTATGGGGGTATATTTATAAATAATATCAATAATAATAATAATAATATATGGTATGATTGACAAATATATATATATAATACAGAGGTTCATTAATAAAATAATAATAGTACCAAAAATTAACAATTATAATAAAATTTCAATTTAAACTTAAATAATATTTTTGGTTCGCTATTGGCATTTACATCTAAGACTTATAACAACACCGATTTTAATTAAAGCTCATTAAGCGCCAAATTGGCAAATTATAGTATTGTGGTCGCTTGGGCGGCTACTAACTTTTTGTCATGTCGTATATGAAATCAGGGTTATAGGGTTATATACGTGTATCTGTTCACGGATACAGGTATCACAAGTATTTATATTTTTTAAAATAAGTCCAATACTTTTATTAAATTACGGATAGAGACTCAATACATACATGACCCGTATCGGTATTAGATACGTATCGGATACATGGATACGCCATGAGAGTGAAGTATCGGTGCACCATAGCCCACATCCAGACATCTCTTGGCTCTGCCATTATCATGTGTAGCCCTAATCTCATTCTCCTACGTATATATGTGAATGAAAAGTAGGTGATTTTGTTACTAATACTTTTAATCTATATAAAAGTAAGAGTTGGATTTTCTCCTCTTTCTGAACACATCAATCCTTTTTTTACAACTACATAGTAATTTTTGTAATGAATATTATTGGTAGATACAATGATAGCTTCAATTCGAATAAACATATTTAACGGTACTTGATAAAAAAATATTGACTAATAAATCGATAAATACCAAAAATAGAGGTTAACCATACATAGTTTTAATTTTAATACATCAAACATAAAGCTTCCATTAACATTTTTAGCCTAGACAAATCTCTTCCATATTAACTTAAGAGATGACCATCTATTATAACAATAGGGAAAATCTTTTTTAAGGGTTGATAACTTGATGTAGGGTGCTTTTTCATGCAATTCTACTGGAGAACAAAGTTATATTCCGAAATGACATAATCTTGAGTACACTCTTTGATAACATTTGAACACATTAAATAACATTCTAAGTAATTTTTTAGTTTGATATCCCGTGCAACGCACGAGTGTAAGACTAGTTTACTAAATAGGATTAAAGATGTTTTGAAATTTCAAAACGTGATATGTACATTATTGTGCCAGAGACACTTTTAGTCTTTGACTTCAAAGTTTTCCAAATTTAGTCCTCTGGGTATTATCAAATTGACACATTTAGTTCTTCCACTGTGACATTGACACAATTAGTGAGGGACTAAAAATGTCATTATTATAATAGTTGAAGGACCAAAAGTGTGACTTCTATGAAAGTTGAAGGACAAAATATGAAAATTTTCAATGATAGGTACCAAAAGTGTCTCTAACACAATAGTCGAGAACTAAAAATGAAAAAAAAAACAAAGCTTTGTACCAAAAGTGTCAATGACATAATAGTCGGAGGACCAAAAGTGGAAAATAACTCATGAGTAATTTATGTCAAGTTTGACATCATCAAGCTTTAAACATGACAACTTCAGCAAAAAATTTCAAAGTTAACAGAAATTACTCCTATTTAGGAAAAAAGAAGCTTATGACCTCAATATTACAAAATAATTAGCGATCAACAAAAAATGACTTTTTTTAAATTTCCAAAAATGTGACTGTTAAGTATTATGTTTACTAAAGTATCCTTGGATGACAAAACGTTCATAGTGACATGACCCAATGTGACACTGCTGTCCGTGACACCGCCACAGTGACACCATCGCTAGTAACACGCTGCCGATGCCATAGTTATGTCACCGGTGACAACGCCATAGTGACGCCACCGGTGACGCCGCCAGCTCCGACTATAGTGACACCGCCACAGTGACAAGATGACTTCGTTCACGGTGACACCACCATTGCTCCCGTCACACCATCGTCACTGCCAATCCCCCACACCACCATCAATGTCCCCACTCCCTAATCCCCCACACCACCGCCACTGCACATCCCCCACACTACCGCGAGCGCCCCACCGCCGCCGGCCCACCTTCAGACCGACGTTAGTGCTCCACCCTCGCACCACTACATCACCACCAACCCCACCCTGACAATAAGATACCAAAATCAGAGAAAGGGTCAAGGAAGAAAGATCTTCATTCCTTCACAAGACTCCAGCCCAGCCGCCCAGGTATTTCGAAAATGGGAATCACTCCTATCAGGGTCGGCTCCAGCGCTTTGAGGCCCCAGGCGAAATAGCTTTAATTTTCACGTATCATACATTTTCTTTTTTCATTTGCATTCTAATTTTTATTATCATTCTCAGTCTCACAATCAACACCCGCATTGTCATTGTTAATAATAATTGAGGAACAAGAAGTTGTCCTTACATACCGATCCTTATACCCAGAAGCGATTTAATAACCAATTTTTTCTCAATTTATTATTTCTCTTTGTACATCTGGAATCAATTTTTTGTTTATCCGTAAGGACAATACCTACATATTTAACATATCTACAGAATTATAGATAAATAATTAATAGAATATAATGAAAGAATAAATGTATATCTGATTGAAATCCAATATTTTCATTCTCATGTCTATCATTTGCCTGGATTTTTTTGTTTGAGGTCGTTGGAAAATGATTTGTTTTTGCATACCTCTCCATTGATCCTGCAAAAGATTACATTACTTCACCTTTTCTTTTTTACCTTTTCTTTTTTAAGTTTTCTCTTTGTGACCCCTGTCTCTTGTTTCTGTTTTCCCATCATAACAAATACTAGAAAATAATAATTTAGCACTAAGATTGTCCCATACCGAATTTGGTAAAGTTTGTGTGGCTCTAAATCATTCTTACATTATTCCTACTTTATCAATTCAATATCAACCACATAAACCAATTTTTTTATTAATTTGCGTGCCACTCCCTCTTGTCCCATTGTTAGCGGGACGGAGGGAGTATATTACAAGCGAGTTAATACTAAATAGTAAATACTAAATACCATTTAAAAAGATTAATTCAAACTAAATTTGATAAATGAATAACTTCAAGAAAATTAAAAAATATATATAACACAAAGTTTCAAGTTTAATACAATTATTAAATACATAACCATTCATAAATTAAATGTAGAATAACACATTTACAAATTTCATTATTTCAATTTGTAGTAATGCAAATTGCGGAAGAAATCAAAGAATCAAATATGAACTACAGAGCATTATGAATTCAAAGCTACGTACGACACTCAGGCAAGAATTAGGAAAGTACGAATATGGAAAGTTAGCCAGAAATAGCATATCTGTATTTTGAATTCGAATTGCCTTTTATAGGCGATTACAAATGGTAACTGCCGAACATAATAATGACTAAATTAATTACAACATTAATACAGAATTAAACACATAATTAAGTCGCGCATTAATTGTTGGCCGTTACTCTTCCTGGCTGGCAGGTCAGCCTGGTTGGCAGGCTGGACGCTTGAGCTCCCTCCTGCTGGACTGGACGGTGGGCTTCCCGCTAGGCTGGAGGAAGGCTTCTGACCGGGCTGGAGGCAGGCTCCCGGGTAGGCTGGAAGGCAGGCTCCCCGTTGGGCTGGAGGCAGGCTCCCACCTGGGTTGGACCGCAGGCTCCCAGCTGGGCTGGACCGCAGGCTCCCAGCTGGGCTGGTGGTCGGCAGGCTCCTGGATAGGCTGGAAGGCAGGCTCCCCACTGGGCTGGAAGGCAGACTCCCCACTGGGCTGGAAGGCAGGCTCCCGGGTAGGCTGGAAGGCAGGCTCCCGGGTAGGCTGGAAGGCAGGCTGCTGACTGGGCTGGTAGGCAGGCTCCCTGCTGGGCTGGACGGCAGGCCGCCCTGGGCTTTCACTCTTTGATGGGCCTGATCGGTTGGGTCGGAATGAGCTCTGGATCACTGGGCTTGGGCCTGCTGGTCCAAGTCCGGGGCCTGGGCCGATTAGGCTCTGGGCCTAGTCCCATAACCCCATCACGAGTCCCCCACTCCCTTAGTCGAGTAGTAGACTCGGCTAAGAGGGAGTAGTTTAAGTCAGCTACCGATTTAAAAATATTCACATATCAAGGAACCATAATTGTGGATTATGTGAATCCCGGAGTTTATGGAAATTCCCAAATTAAATCAGGCTCCCAAAAAAGGCTCCAGAAAAATTCCTTCAGCATCCTAGCACTCCAGTCGTCAGTTTTCTTCCGGACTTCAGAATCCAGGTCAGCTCCCAAAAATCCCTGAAATTCATTTTTATTACTTCATAAATTATTTTCGGACTTTATTTTATTTTTCCTTCCTTTTCTTTTCTTTCCTTTTCTTTTCTTTCCTTCTTTTTTCTTTCCTTCTCTTTTCTTTCCTTTCTTTTTTCTTTCCTTTCTTTTTTCTTTCCTTTCTTCTCTTTCCTCTCTCTCCTGCGACCTGCGTCCGTCTTCCTCGCGTCACCCCAACGCAGCACGGCAGTCGGAAATCCAGCATGCCTCACCCCCAAATTGCAGACCGATTCTTCAGCAGCAGGCGTCGCCGGGTGAACCACCAGACTGGAGGTCGTTCAGCGGCAAGGTGTCGCCGGGTTGAACCCTCGTCCGCAACAGGGCTTC